AGGGTGAGAGAAAGGGCTCAGTGTATTCAAACAGTTGGCTCAAATCTTTCCCCATCCTGCCACCCTCCTTGAGAGATGGGGTCACCACTACTCTAGAGATGGAGAACTGAGGCCCAGAGGAGAGACGCCCCTTGAGGTCACACAGTGAGCTGTGACTGCCCCAAGCTGGGCCAGGAAAGCTGACCCCAGGAGAGTCCTAAGGGGTCAGACCCTATCCCCTCGGAAGGAAGGAGGGGCTGCCCCTCTCCCCCTCCCCTTTTCCTGGCAGCCTGAAATACAGGAGTAGGGGTGGGAGGGGCGTGTGGCTTTGGCTTTTTAAGTCCAACACAGCCCCTCACTGTCCGTGCACAGACAGGCCTGGGCTGGCTCCTCAGACACAGGCCCATCTGTGAGGCCCCCACAGGGCTTGCTTCTCTCCCAGAGAGCTTGTTTGTTTACCCAGTTTTCATAATTATAAGTTCTGCAGCCCCACCCGGCCCAATCACTCCTTCCCTGGCCATCCCTTGCCATCTGGGGCCCTGCACGGGTGCAGGGGACAAAGTAAGAAGTCGGAGAGGGAAAAGCTTCATGCTGGGGTCAAGGCCCTGGGTTCCAGCCAAGCTCTGGTGCCCCTGAGAGCATAGGCATGTCCCTTCCTCTTTCTGGGCCTCAGTTTACTCAGGCATGAGAAAAAGGAGGGGATTGGTTAGAGGAGCTCATGGGGTCCTCCAGGGCTAGGAGGAGGAGGGGTCTGGGCCTGAAAAAGAAAAGCAGACACTTCTCATCAGCACCTCAAAAATCAAGGCAGGGCTGGGTGAGAGGCAGATACCTCCCCCAGCCCACCAGGCCTGCCCGCCCCAAAGCTCAAACCCAGCTCTCTTTTCTACCCTTCACCTCCCAGAGAACACTGCACTCAAAAAAAGCAAAAACAAAAAGCAAAACAGAAGTGCAATTGTCAGCTCCCTCCTCCTCTAGATGCCTGAATCACCCCTTAAATCTCTGACAGGGCAGGCAAATGACACACAGCTTCCCTAAGAACTCAGCAAAAATGCAACTGCCATTTACTGGGCACCCTGCACAGGCCGGGAACTGCATAGTGCACCTCCCAGAACCTTCACCCAGCCCAAAGGCAGGGACCACCAGTCCCATCTTAGCGGCAGCTGGACCTCCAAGGAGGAGAGCTGTATGCCAAAGGCCACACAGCTTCCAGTGGCGGAAGCATACCGCCACCAGGTCAAGACCAGACACGCTGCCTCTTGAGATGGGCCGCCTGAGTGTTGAAACCAACATACACTCCGGGAAACAAAGATCCACGGACTTTGTAACATGAGCCACAGCACATCCAGCATGATGGAACCTTCTTGGCTGGCATGAGTTCCACGAGATCAGGGCTCATGTCACTGCTTCGTCCCCAGTTCCCAGCTCAGGTCAGGCACAGGACAGCTTTCAGAGCAAGCTCCTTCTTCAACAGCAAGATGGCCTCCTACAATACGGAGGTGCTGCACCTGCTCTGTGCCTTCAGTGCAACCTAAGGCCCACAGGTTCCCAGGAGGTCAGAGCTGGAAGGGCATGCCCGTTGCACAGATAGGCAAAGTGAGGAGGAGGCACAGAGAGAAGAAGGGACTTGCCAGAGGTTGCCAGGCACCCATCCTAGGGAGCCTGCCTCCTAGCCCACACCTACCAGTGGCTCCTGGCAGGTGGAATAAATCAGAGGTGAGTGGAGCACGAGTGGGTGGGCGGCTTCTTCCCAAGGGACTCCTTTTCTAGAAGGTGCTAAGCTTCACAAATTCAGCTGGATGCAAATAGTTCTGCTCAGTATGGGGCATGGGAAAGACGGATGGCAGCTGCAGTTGGCTTGGCCACAGACAGGCAGGTGGGAAAGTGGGGTCTGCACTTTGCAAACCCCACAGTTCATTCTTCCTCGCCTCCTGGATGCCCAGTTACCCCTTGGGCCTCCACCCCTGCACGTGGACCCTCCACCCAGCACCCACGCCAACACATAGCACTTCCGGTCTGCAAGAGGAGGGCCTCCCTTGGCCAATGTCCTGTGTTAGCCACACATAACAGTGACAGCGGATGAACCAGGAGCTGATGTTCCCTGAGCGCGAAGAGCTCCGGCCACATCATCTCACCGACCCTACACAACAGCCTCAGGGGCCTGGGATACTGTTGTGCCCACTTTACAGATGAGGAATTTGAGGTCCAGAGAAGGGAGGGCAGCTGCCAAACGACAGGGCAGTCCTGACAGCATCTCAAAACCAGGTCCTCCGACTCCCGGCCTCTTTCTACTCTGCCCTTGGAGGGGAAGAAGGTTCTCATTTTCAGGGCTGCCTGGGAAGGGAGTGAGTTTCCAGTTACTGGAAGAGTGGGAGCGGAGGCTGCAAGACCAGTGGTTGGAGGTCTGCCTTGATAAAACAACCTACAGAATCTGGACAGGTTTCCCTGTAGCCAAGAGTCACGGACATCAGCTCGCCCCAGCCCTGCACAGCACCATCACTGAGGCCTGGCCACACCACCCCTCTGTACACACATGTCCCTCACTGCACCTGACCCCAGCCACGCAGGTCCAGTCCCTCTCACCACGGGGTTCACCTCCTCCCATCCACACTCACTCACAGCTGACCCACCGGTGCCACTTCTGCCTGAAAATGCCTCCAAGGCCTCCCCAGGACTGTCAGGACAAAAGCCTCTCCTTTCTAAGACCAGCCCTTGTGGTTCCCTCTACCTTCCCCACCCTGAGTCCCAGCAAGACTGGCCCACCCCAGGCCAGTCTCTCTTACACCTTCCCAAGGAAGGCGTTTCCCTTTGGGAAAACTGCTTGCCCTGAGGAGGGACGGCCAGCCAGGAAGCACACGCAGGCAGACACCATGTGATTGTGCAGCTGTGTGTCCCTGGTGCCCAGCACAGCGCTGGGCACACAGTAGGTGTTCAATAACGATTGATTGAATTAATACAAGAAATAAGGACTGGCCGGGCGCGGTGGCTCACGCCTGTAATCCCAGCACTTTGGGAGGCCGAGGCGGGTGGACACGAGGTCGGGAGATCGAGACCATCCTGGCTAACACGGTGAAACCCCGTCTCTACTAAAAATACAAAAAATTAGCCGGGCGAGGTGGCGGGCGCCTGTAGTCCCAGCTACTCGGAGGCTGAGGCAGGAGAATGGCGTGAACCCGGGAGGCGGAGCTTGCAGTGAGCCGAGATCGCGCCACTGCACTCCAGCCTGGGCAACAAAGCGAGACTCCGTCTCAAAAAAAAAAAAAAAGAAATAAGGACTATGTGTGTCAGGGGCCAGAGCTCATCACACCCCTTGATGGTCTCACAGGCATGCACATCTATTTCTACATAGAAGTCATCCAGCCCTGCCTTTGGAAGGCATCTTGAGACCCCTACAAAAGGGTTTTCAGAGGCAGAGAATGCCCAAGAGTAGATACTGGCCTTGAGGTCACAGATGGGGAAAAAAGGCACAGAGAGGCACGGCCATTGGGTCCAGAGTCACACAGCAAGTGGTCAATGGGACCAGGCTTGAGGCTTACGAGCCTCGTTCTTGAAACATGGGTGGGCAAGGAGGGAGCATGTTCCCGTCCGTCTTCCCACCCTTTTCCTCTGTGCACTGCCACATGCCAGGCACAGAGTGGATGCTGCTGCCGAGTGACTGACCTTGTTGGAACCACAGCCCCATCCCACCGCCCTCCAAGAACTCGCTGGATACCCCAGGTGTCCAGGGCCACAGGCTGGTGCTCCTCTGACCTTGGAAGGGAAGAAGGTTCTCATATTTAGGGCTGCCTAGGAAGGGAGCGGGTCATGTCAACTTCCTGGAGCACATGGCAGGGAGCAGGGGATGCATGAGGCCACAGACGGACCGGACACATCTCCCTGGGTGTCAAGTTAGCTCAATAAAGTCACAATCATAAAACAGCTATCACTCACGTATTGTCACCTCCCACCAACACTGTTCTGCACCGACCAGGGGACTTGACCCTCACGCCTCGAGATGCCAGAACTATCATCCTCATGGAAGGAGGGCTGTGAGGCTCAGAAAGGGTGACTGACTTGCCCCCAGACACCAGTCCATCGAGTGGCAGAGCCAGGACTCGAACCCAAGCAGCCTGACTGGAAAGCCTTCCCCAAAACCTCTGGTCTCCCTGCTTCTTCAGGCTTACCATCCACTATGTCACCAGGCAGGGCCCTTCACCTTCATGGGTCAGAAGCAGCCCCGCTCCAAAAAAACAGGACCAGTCCCAGGGGGTGAACACTTCCTGTTCTTCCAGTTTTAAAATTTGTGAGATCAAAAGATTGTAGCCTTCCATGACTCAGGCCCTAAGATTCTACCAGGAGAAGAGAATGACTCTGCTCCACCCTCACCGGTTTTCAAACTAGGCATCTGCCCCGACTCCTTCCTTAAACCTCTGCCCAGCAGCGTCTACACAACACCCTTCTTCCTCCGGCACAGAAGTGGATGGGGTGGGGCAGGGGAAGGAAAAAGCAGTGCAGGAATTTCTGCAACCGCAGGATGATGCTTGCAGGAGCCCGGGGTGGAGTGAGTCATGAGCTCTGCCCGCAGGGAAGGAGGAGGGGGGGCGCAGGGAAGGAGAATGGGGCTGGTCAGAGGCTGTGAGTCTCAGACTGAGTAATGATGGGTGGGATAGATTTGTGCAACCTATGGGAGTCTGACACAAGGTGCTGTATTCCCACTTGGTTCCTCCTCCCACTTCCCTTCCCCACCTCTAAAAGCTTACCTCTCTAGGAGGCCTTTTTCACAGTGTCCCCCTGCCCAATCTGGACACCACGGACGACATAGTCATAGCGGAACGTGGTTTAAATAGCTAAGGCCTTGGACTACTCGCGGTCCAGGCCTGCCACTGAGGTGCGGATTCAATGAGATAACACAGACAAAGGAAGGCTTGGCACATAGCAAGTCCTCAGTTAAACCGTTGCTAATCTTTACAGTTATCACCCGAAGCCTGATTATCTATTTGAGGACGGAGGGACACTTTCAAATAGAATAAAATGCAGCCTTTGGGGATGCTTCCAGGGAGGTTTTAATGACCTGGGAGAGACGTTTATTATAAATCACGTAGTGAAAGAAGCGAGACACAAACTTGAGTCATGGTCCCGGCAAAGTGTAATGATCGCCACAGAAGGGAAGTACTTCCAGAGGATGAAGCGGTTATCGCGGGATGGCGGGTGAGTGGTTCCTATTCCTGTTTTTCCGCTTCACTCCTCAGACAGCAGGGAGGGCAGCCATGGCCCAGCGTGGGTTTAGAAAGGTCTCTTTGGCAGTGTGTGTGGGAAGGACTAGAGGCTCCGAGGAGGCTGGAGCAGCTCCGAGTAGGCGAGGCCGGCACTCAGGCCCCAGCAGTGGGAAAGGAACAGAGTCGGGGGGACTAGAGGAGCCTGGATGGAGGGGAAGGCAGGGTCAAAGCCAACAAAAGCATGTTACGTAAGACTCAACAGAAAGACACCAGCATCCTCAGACGCTTCACCCCCAGGGGCTGACCCAGACCTTGGCTAAGGGCAGCAGCCCGGGCCCAGGCACTGCTTCCGGCCAGCCTGGTCTCTCTGCAAAGTCCAGGGGAGCAATGAGGAAGCCACACAGCAGGGTGAGGGGTGGCAGAAGGTGGAACCCCTCCATCCCTTCACTCTTGGCACCTACAGCCACTTCCCAAATGTTGAGAGGTAGAATTTTTTTTTTTTTTTGAGACAAGAGTCTCACTCTGTCACCCAGGCTGGAGTGCAATGGCGCGATCTTGTCTCACTGCAACCTCTGCCTCCCGGGTTCAAGCGATTCTTGTGCCTCAGCCTCCCAAGTAGCTGGGACTATAGGCACGCACCACCAGGCCTGGCTAAATTTTTAGTAGAGACGGGGTTTCATCATGTTTGCCAGGCTAGTCTCAAACTCTTGACTTCAGGTGATCTGCCTGCCTCAGTCTCCCAAAGTGCTGGAATTATAGGCGTTTGAGTCACCGCAACCAGAAGAGAGGTTAAGTTTTTAAAATAACTTTGGAAAAAGGCTCAATAAGTAATTAAGACACCCTTCTCATATCTGGTTGTCAAAAGGAGAAAAATGCTCAATGCTAAGGTCCACCTTGGCAGGAGAGTGTCTGTGGCCTTCTTAAAGGCTATGTGTCCATCTATCAAAAGGTGACCCAGGCCAGGCATGGTGGCTCACACCTGTAATCCCAGCATTTTGGCAAGCAGAGGCAGGTGTATCACCTGAGGTCAAGAGTTCGAGACCAACTTGACCAATATGGTGAAACCCCATCTCTACTAAAAATACAAAAATTAGCTGGGCATGATGGTGCACGCCTGTAATCCCAGCTACTCAAGAGGCTGGGGCAAGGAGAAACTGCTTGAACCTGGCGAACGTGAGGATGCATGAGCTAGATCTTCCACTTGCACTCCAAGATACCTGAGCGACAAGATGAGACTTCATCTCAAAAAAAAAAAAAAAATCTCTTTTATATAAACCGCCAAAAGGCTTATATGCGAGCATTGTACAGAGAAGTGGGTTTGGAAACGTGCACGCCACACTATAAGTACTTCTCTTCTGGAAGTGAGATTAAGAGAAAGATGGAGGGTGCTTTCATTTTTTATTTTTTTTTTTATTTTATTTATTTTTTTTTTGAGACGGAGTCTCACTCTGTCACCCAGGCTGGAGTGCAGTGGCCGATCTCAGCTCACTGCAAGCTCGCCTCCCGGTTTACACCATTCTCCTGCCCTCAGTCCTCCCGAGAGCTGGGACTACAGACGTCCGACCTCCCCGGGCTAGTTTCATTCTTTTATTTTACCCTCTTAAATTGTTTGTGCATGTGTTACTTTTGCTCAGGCAATCCTTCCACCTCAGCCTCCCGTGTAGTTGGAACCACAGGCACACATGACCATGCCCGGATAATGTTTTGTATTTTTACTAGAGACAGGGCTTTGCCATGTTGCCCAGGCTGGTCTTGAACTCCCCAGTTCAAGCAATTCACCCTTCTCAGCCTCCCAAAGTGCTGAGATTACAGGCGTGAGCCACCACGCCTGGCCTGTGCAATTAGACAAAATGTTCAGTGGTTGCCTAGAGTTGGGAGGGACTAGGAGGAAACAGAAGCAACTACTAAGGGAGTAAGAGTAAGGGATTTCTTTCAGGGCTGATGAAAACGCTCCAACTTTGACGGTGGCAATGGTTGTGCAATTCTGTGAATATACTAAAAACCACTGAAGTGTACACTTTAGGTGGGTGAATTGTATGGTAGGTGAATTATGCCTCAATAAAGCTGTTATTTTTGGCTGGGTGTGGTGGTTCACGCCTGTAATCTTGGCACTTTGGGAGGCTGAGAAGGGCAGATCACCTGAGGTCAGGAGTTCAAGACCAGCCTGACCAGTATGGTGAAATCCCCATCTCCACTAAAAATACAAAAATCAGTTGAGCATGGTGGTGCACACCTGTACCTGCTGAGGCAGGAGAATCGCTTGAACCCAGGAGGTGGAGGTTGCAGTGGGCCGAGATTGTGCCACTGGACTCCAACCTGGGAGAGAGAGTGAGACTCTGTCTCCAAAAAAATAAAAAGATGTTAGCTGAGGGGCGGGAAGCTCACACCTGTAATCCTAGCACTTTGGGAGGCCAAGGCTCCCAAAGGAGACTTGCTTGATCTCAAAGGAGGATCGCTTGAGCCCACGAGTTCAAGACCAGCCTGGACAATGTAGGGAGACCCTGCCTCACACATACACACACAAATTAGCTCGGCATGGTGGCGCATGCCTGTAGTCCCAGCTACTTGGGAGGCTGAGGTGGGAGGATCACTTGAGCCCAGGAGGTCAAGGCTGCAGTTAGCTATGATGATGCCACTGCCCTCCAGCCTGGGTGACAGAGCAAGACCCTGTCTCAAAAAAAAAAAAAAAAAAAGTTACTCCAAGGTTGCAGAAGTTATATTGGGACCTTGAGCTGGCTTCAGTCTGGGGGAGATTTGTGGGGAAAATTTGGGATTGTTAGACCCTCAGAGCTGAAAGGGACTTCAGCCATCGAGTAGCCCACTCACTTTGGTTCACAACTAGGGAAACTGAGACCCACAGAGAGGAAGTGGCCTGCCCAAGGATCCTCAGGCCTCCCGGCTCCCGGGCCAGGGCTTCTTCCTCCCCGCACACTCCCCCGTGTAAGGAGGCGGGAGTCAACCTGCCACCAGCCCCGCGGGGCTCCTGGTGTGGAGACAAGCCTCTGCTTGCCGGGGGCTTTGAAATCCCAGGATGAAAGGTGCCGTGGCAGCAAAACAGCACCGTGGCCGGGAGCACGCCTGACCTTTGCCAGGACTTGCAGGCAGGCTGGCATTCACCTGCTTACCGGCTCGGGGCGGACACAAAGCTACAGGTCAAACCTCGGAACCCTAACAGGCCCGGGAGCTCAGAGCAGTATGGAAAGGGATGTCTCTAACTCTGACATTTCTACTGGGGCACAGAACAAGGCCTCAGGTAGGGAGGGCTCTGGAATTTTAATTGCCGGCTTTGAGAGTACCTCCTGCTCCTTGGGTGGGGTGAAGAAGGTGCCTGGATCACTGGAGGCGGCAAATACACGCCCTCATTCCCTTCCAGCAGAGATTTCTAAGGCAGTTCACTTCCACTGGAGGAGGCTGGGAGGCTTCCCGGCTGCCCCCTTCCGACACCCCACCCCTCCACATCAGGAACTCTCCTCAGGTGAGTCTGGACCAGGAATTCGAGGCGTTTAAAGAGGGTTATAAATAGCACTGAAGTGTGGAGAAGAGAGAGACCAGCAGGCTCTGAGTGGGCACAACTTTCTCCCACCCAGCCTGGTACCCAGAAAACAAATCCAACCCTCTCCAGTAAAGGACACTTCACCTTCTGTGGTCTCCGTCCACTCCCCTGTAACATGCCAGGGGAGAGAGGGTGGGCTGGCAATTCTCAGCCCAGGAGACAGGAAGACAGGGAGGCCCAGCACTGAGTATGGGGAGAGGAAAAACCCCACGGAACGCATGGCACACCCCACCCAGGCCACTCGAGGGGCCTCAACAGGAGGTCCTGAATGGAGGGACTGTTACAGAGCCCCAGGAGGCTGCTGTGACAGGGAGGGGACAGGAAGGCTCCGCCCTGGCCCTTCCTCCTCCCAGAGTCCAGGCCTGGTCGACAAGGAGGCTTTCCAGGACTTCACTCCACACTGGTGAGAGGCTAGAGAGGGTCTGATTCATTTCCACATCACCCCAATCACCCCTGTGTCCAGCCAGCCCCAGGCCTAGAACAAGGGAGGGACTCTGGCCTTAGGACTTGGCCCAGGACCACAGCCACTTGGCAGACCTCCCCAGCACCTCCCTGGTGCCCAGCATGGGTGCGGCCCTGGAGACATGGAGTTAAAGGACACCTGGCCACTGCTCTCAGGGCTTCTTGCTCTCAAGGGGGCGTGGAGAACACGGTAGTGAAATTCTACAGGACACAAAAATAAGTGCAGGCAGACACGGTGCTCAGGGCCCACTAGACAGTGAGAGGCAACCCACCTGAACCATCACCCCACGTATAAGTGCCTCTCCCATGCCAGGCTCTGTGCTAAGCAAGCCATATGAGTTACTTCACATAAGCCTCCCAACAACTCATTAATAAGAAAGAAAGCACCGACCCCATTTCAAAGAGGAGAAAACCAAGGTGTACAGGACAGACGTCTGGGAAGCAAATGCTGGGATTCCACCCAGGGCAGCTCCACCAGCCAGGAGAGCTCGGCCAGAGAAGATTTTCTCAGGCAGCCGAGATCCTCATCCTATCTCCGCCTTCTCCAGAGTCTGTAGGGAAAAGGAACCCAGGCCTCCACCGCAGCTCCGGCTTCCCCAGGAGCCTTGGGGACAGCTGTCCTTGGAAGAAGTGGCCACTGTGCAGTAATAGGCTGAGAGCAGGGTTGGCTGAAGGACGGGGTTGAAGGGGCTGGCGACTGGCCCTGAGGGCCCCCCACTCTGGTGACCAGTCCCCTGGCCCCTGCTGCTGACAGGGGCAGCCTGCTGTCTGCGCCAAAGAACATGGAACCCCACCGCCTCCGGGGCTCCCTATCGATCCCTGGCCCCGCTCCCCAGGATCAGTCCCGGGCCTTCATGGGCCCGTCCTCAGGAAGCCTCCGCCACGTGTACCAGGGCTGGGGCCCAGCGGAGCTGGGGACGGGACGGCTGGGGAGGAAGGTGAGCGCGCGCTGACTGGGTCAGGGAGATCCCAAAGCTGATAGCGGATGGGCTTGGAACGCTTCTGGGCGGGGACAGTCAACGGTGGGCGGCAGGCTGCGACCCCTGCCCCAGCTCGGCCAGGGGTTGTGAGCTGGGGTCAGCCAAGCCCGGGATCCGAAGGAGTTTCGGGAGAGAAGGGGTTCCGAGTCCCCTTCAGCCGGTAAAGGTGGCGCTCAGAAGAGCGCGGGAAGGGGCGCCCAGGCTCGGAGGGAACAAGCTCGGACGCGGGGCGCGCTCCCTGGCTGCTCCCACCCGCCCAGCCTGACTCCCCCGAGATCCCGGCCCCGGCGCCGACTGCTGGCCGGGGCGGGGGCGTGGTCCGGGGGTTCTGGCGGGACCCTGGGCGCGCGTGGCGCGGCACGACCCTCACCTGCGATGTGCTGGCGCCGGGCGTCGTCCAGGTGTGTGGACAGCACGTCCCCCATGGCCAGGAGGAGTCGCGGCCCGATCCGGCCGACGCCGCTGCTGTTGCCCGCGCTGCTCAGGCGGACGCCGCTGGCGCCATGGAGCCCGGCCCGCCCTGCTTCCCCCGCTCCCGCCGCTCCCGACGCCCGGCTGCGGCTTCCGCTCCGGCTCCGCTCCCGGTCGGGCCCCGTCCCACCAGCGGGCAGCCTTGGCCCCCTCCCCGCCTTCGGCCCTGCACCCCTGCGCCCTGCCCCGCCCCACCAGGCCACGCCCCCGCAGGGCAACCCCGCCCCCTCCCCGCCCGCTGCCCTGCACCCCTGCGCCCGCCGGGCCCCACCCCGCCCCGCCCTCGGTCCTATACCCCTGCGCCCCACCCAGCCCCTCCAGGGCCCGCCCCGTATGCCCCGCCCCCTCCGCTGCCTCGGGCGGGCGGGGCACAGGGGCCGGGGACGCCGGGACCGCCCTGGAGACGGAGACAAAGAGAAGGTCCCAGAAAGGGAGACCGCGGAGAGACGCGCGGAGAGCGTACTCGCCCTGTACCTAAGCAGAGAAAGAGACGGGGCTGGTGGGGGCAGCTGAAAAACTGGGGGTGCTCTGAGAGACTCCAGCCTGAATGTCACCCCGCTCCCCTCCCCAACCGTGCCCGCGCGGGAAAAGAATCGCTCGGAGGAGGATGTGGGGCACTGGCAGGGGACGCCTGGACCTACGGACCGGAATTCGGTGTTCGCCCCCTCCTCTTCCCTGAACAGTGCCCCCTGCCCCCCCCAGACCCGCCCGCCACTGCCCGCACTCAGGAAGTTCCCTGGCCTTGATTCGACCTGCCCCAGAAGGTGTGCCGGCCGGTCTTGCACAATGGCTATAGGAAGGGGGTGGGGAAGGCTCTGGCCCTAAGGCACCCCTGCCCCAGTGCCAGGCGGGCTTGCCTCAGGCCCAGCATATGGGCATTTCACGCGGGAGGCGGCTTGAGGGACAAAGCAAATCAGAAAAGGAAAAAGCAGTAGCACTTTACAGTTTGCAAAAGACTACCGGAATCAAAGCCTGGAGACCAACATGCACCAGCCTGTGGGGCTGGGCATGGGTGGGTCGCAGTGCCAGGAGAATGTGTTTCACTCTCAGGACATCCCAAGCTGGCAGGGGAGACAGTCAAGTTAACAAGTGGCATCCCCAGATCTCAATCCTTCCTTGGCTGCTGGTGCTCAGATCTCCTGATCTGCACCTGGACAAGGCCATCCACTTTCTGCTTGTTGACCCCTGGTAACTAAGCACTCACCACTTCTCTCATGCATTTCACCCTGTTATTGGACAGCTCTTAGTGTAACTGTGGCATAAGGCAGGAAGTGATGATGATAACAGTTAAATTTGCTGAGCACCTGTACTTCAGGCCTGTGCACACCACAGGAGGTAGGTTTGAAATGGATTAAAGTGATGCGGGCGTTCATTCATGCATTCAGTCACTTACCAGTCATTCAGCAACGGGTGGTCAACACCTGTGTGTCAGGCCCTCTGCTAGATGCTGGGGGTGAAAAGAGGAGGAAGCCCAAGCTGCCCTCCCCTCTGTGACCCTGGACAAGTGGCATTACCTCTTTGAACTTCAACTACCTCGTCTGTCAAAAGAGAATGATGCTTTTTGGGGGAGGGTTAAATGATATAACAAAATGCCCAGCATAGTGTCTGGCACCAGCGTCCATCATCTCTCAATAAACAGAACGTGTCATCCTATTATTCATAGTCCCTGCCCTCAAGAGCTTAGAGAAGCTTGAGGAAGGAGCAGAACATTCTGTTTTAAGGAAAATCACAGAGAGGGTAGGAACAGAACTGGAAGTTGAAAAACAAGACTTTTGACAGCAGATATTGAGAAACAGCATTCCAGGGAGTGGGGACAACATGGGCAGGGGCCTGGCCTTTGAAGCACGGGATGCATTCATGCATCAAAGAGTCATCATCAGGTGGAGTTGAAGTCATGCTGGCAGAGGTCACTAGTTTCCTTTTATAGAGGTGGAAACTGAGGCCCAGAGAGAGAAAGTGACTTGCTAAGGGCACACAGTGAGGCAGAGGGAGAACCTGGCCAAACGTCAAGTCTTCTGGCACCCAGTGTCTGATTCTCTCTGCGCAACCAGAAGCAAGTGATGCTGATAACCTCGTTTCATTTTTCCCATAGCCCCAAACTGTAGGATCTGTTCTGCCCAGGGAGGAGCAAGCTGGAGCTAGCTGGCGTCTGGGCACCAGAGGCATCTTCTTGGCTGGGCTGGAGGCCTAGGCTAGATTGGGTAGAGATGGGGCCACAGCGACCTTTCCCCAGCCTTCAGGGCGCACCCAAGCCTGGAACACCCACAGCCTCCCTACCATGTGAGGCCCCTGGCCCAGGGTGGGACCCCAGATAGGGAGGCAACTTGAGCATACAGAAGTTCTCCTCTTGCTTTGGAGACCTTCTGTCATATGTCACCTAATCCATCTGACCATCCATGGCTTCACATATGAGAGGCACATGAGATGAAAGTGGCAAGGCGGCCGGGTGCAGTGACTCACACCTGTAATCTCAGCACTTTAGGAGGCTGAGGAGGGCAGATCACGAGATCAGGAGTTCGAGACCAGCCTGGCCAATATGGTGAAACCCCATCTCTACTAAAAATGCAAAAATTAGCCGGGCATGGTGGCACGTGCCTGTAGTCCCAGCTGCTCAGAAGGCCGAGGCAGAAGAATTGCTTGAACCCAGGAGGCGGAGGCTGCAGTGAGCCAAGATCGCGCCACTGCACTCCAGCCTGGGTGACAGAGCGAGACTCCGTCTCAAAAAAAAAAAAAAAAAAAAAAAGAAAGAAAGAAAGTGAAAGGCATTGTAAACAGTAGACTGCTATGCATTTATGTAAATAGCTCTCCGCAAATCTGGAGCCAGTCCCTGACAATTCAAGATTCATTCATTTCACACCAAAAAAACTGCCTTGTCTAGGGGTGAGGTGAAGGAGAATTGATGGCAAAAAAATCTG